ACATCTGTTTTTGGCGAGATGCCAGTTTACAGTAGTGACCAAACCAAGGCTGGGATTTGCCACCAATGGGAACCACAGAGGAAGGAACAAAAAGTTCCATACCCTGAAGAACAACATCGGCGACAGAATCGGCAGCGACGTTGGGATCATTCTGCGAGAAGCAAACCTGGCCCCAAGGGTAGGATGAAAAGAAAGTGCGCATCCCATCCCAGTCTGCTGACTTATAGTGCCACACACGACGACAGCGCCAGCAAATTGCGGCCACGGTGAGTAAGTGAGTGGCACCATACTCCGGATTAGACAATGGTCCGAGGAGCCAAGAGGGGGATCTATGGACACTTTGTAATTATCCGGATGTGAAGTCAGCAGAAGGTCCAACAGTGAAGGTGTATGGTCTTCGACATCAGGGATTCGCGTAGGCGAGGTGACCAGTTGTGTCAGACCATAGGCCAAGGCGAAGTCGTGAGCAGATCTGCCTGCATGATCGGTAGTGGGCGATCCAAGCCATTCGGAGTGGTGGGCATTGAAATCGCCAAGGATCACAATTTCAGATGATGGGATCTGCTGAAGCACGGAGTCTGTAGCCACCTGGATGTAATCATAGAGTCGGTCAGTTTCGGCATTTCCGCTATGGGACCTGTAGAGGCAGGCGTAGACGCGGGGATGGTCATCGACGTCTACACGCAACCATAAGATGGAGAGGTCCCTACCTTCAAAGTTGCTGAGGCGACGGAAACTGATACCCTCTTTAACGTACACACATACTGGGGTATGTGCCCGTGGTACAAAGGAATGTTCCAAAGTATACCCAGGGTACTGGAGGTAGGAGGTGTCGGCTGGAGAGGATATCTGCGTCTCAGTCAAAAAAAGCAAGGCCGGCTGCACTGTCTGAAGGTGGTAGTGAACAGCATTAAGGTTGGAGTGTAGCCCCTGATGTTGCAGAAATCCACGTTAAACATGGCAGGGGGTGACGTATGACGCTTGCTCTGGCCTCGAGCAGTTTCAGTAATGAGCGCGGTTTCGCCCTCCCCAGAATACGAAGGGCAGCCTCGACATCCACGTCCAGAAGGAGACAGTTCTGGGCATGGACGTCCAGAGGGGGATTCTCCAGCGTGAAAACAGCTGGTACCCCCCTGGGGTATTATATTATTTAACTGCGCCATCATGAGGAAAAGCAAAGTACTGCTTCACGCCGGTATTCTGTGAGGTCGTGGTATTCCTCCGGTTGAGCCGGCCCATTCATGCAGTAGCCTAAGCTACTGAATTGAGTGAATTGGCCAAAATATAACAATAAGTGTCACAGAAGACGGAAAAAAATCTCCCAACTGCGAGCCATTTTGGCCTGCACTGCAAAAACAATAAAAGCTACATGAATGTAATGTAGAGTGAAAATGTATCTCTTAAATAGTTCTAAAAAAAAAGTCCGTGACACCATATATCCATTTTTAATGTGTACGCCATTACCGCTAAAATAGTGAATCAAACTAAAATATTATTTGATATCTATTTCCAACATGTACATTTTGCATTAACAAATTATTGAATAAGTGGTAGTTTACTAAAAAATTTACATTCATTAGATATTTATGTAACGACTTGATTTAACTTCACACATTTTTGCGAAAATTGAGGCCCATCTGTAGCCTTGGCCCCGCTGGTAAAGTCTCTTTATCTATACTTATAATAAATCTGTAGAGATGTCAATTCTGTACATGAAATATATTTTTAAAATAACTATCAGGGGGTGATTAGTGATCGATACTGATGCCAAAAATGCAATCAGTAAATTTTTTGTCTGTCTGTCTGTCTGTCTGTGTGTATGTTCCTTATAGAAACTAAAACTACTAGACGGATTTTAACGAAACTTGGTACAATTATTCTTCATACTCCTGGGCAGGTTATAGTATACTTTTCATCACGCTACAATCAGTAGGAGCAGAGTAGTGAAGGGAAATGTTGGCAAAACGGGAGAAGTTACTCCATTTTTTAAGCTTCCGTCGCATGTGCAGCCTTAATGATTAAAGTTACATAGAAATCATGTATCACAGAAATATTCTACATAAAATTGTCTAAAAAATATCCAGCAACAGCATATGTCTATCTTTTATGGTTGACTCACAATAACACGTGTAACTCCCGATAGCTTAGCAGTTCGGAGCATTCTGATCATATTTGTTTACTCTTACGTTTATAATACTCGGTATAGAAACACCAAACTTATACATGAAATAAGTCATCGCGCCGTCGCACGTGAATACTGAATCATGCTATAAGGATTATTTTTGTGTAACGGTTGCCGCGCTCGACACGGGTCGCGGCAGCGGTAGGGTATCAAAGGTCCGAGAGCGAGCTGTCTAAATCTGTTTTCTGCGTCGCTCCCCCCCTGGGGGACGATCGCTTCCGATGAAGCCTTAGAGGCCTTCCCGGCCAGAGGCAGCCCCTACGGGTGTTTTTTAGTCAGTACGAGTCTGACATAACCTTGCAGCCGGCTGTAGGGTATCCATGAGGATTTCTCATCTGCTCCCCCGCCTGGGAGACCGAAACCGTGCTTATCAGCGCGACTTTTAGTCTTTAAATAGTTTATTTGAATTTCTTTTGTTGTTATTTTGTAAAACAGGTATTAGTTGTTTTGGTAGTGTTTAAATATTCGTTCAAATTAAAAATTATTAAGCCTTGGTACTTTTATTAATTAAAGTAGTTATAAGTATTTATTTTTAAGTGAAGGAGGTATAGGTAGATAGTATTGCACAGGCGTTTCAGCTTTATTTTCATTTCTTTTTTGTTGTGTTGTATATATTTCTGGTTATAATTCTATAAGAATATTTTAGTTCAAATAGTCACTTAGATTTTATGTGTAAGGTAGCTAAAGTAAGGACCACGTATTAGTTGTTTTGGTAGTGTTTAAATATTCGTTCAAAGTGTAATTTAATCATATAGGATGAATGTACGATGGCCCATCGAAAAGGAGTAGAAGCGGTAGACAGAACTTTAAGAGATATAAGACAAAATGATTGACCCATGGGTGGTATCACAGTTTTATTTTGTGGTGATTTCCGACAAACCTTAACGGTAATACCACGGGGAACCCGAGCTGCTGAGGTTAGGGCTTGCCTGAAAAGCTCTTATTTGTGGCGTGATATACAATCGGTGCATTTGACTATAAACATGCGAGTGAGAACTGTAGATAACCCGGATGATCGTGAATTTTCTGATATATTATTAAAAAAAATACCTTCACCAAAGATATCCACTGCTACACCAAGGAAAACTTATTCTGACGCCTGAGTTATGTTGTATAGTGCAATCCCAACAACATCTTACATCGTCAGTTTACGGTGACGTAACAAATATATTAAATGAGAACAATTCTTGGCTATGCGAAAGGTCCATTTTAACTCCTCGCAATGACCAGGCATCTGAGATTAATAATAAAATACTGTCGAATATCCAGGGGGAAAGCAAAGTTTATAGTTTAATAAATAGAATGGCTGATGAACAAGAAGCCACTAATTACCCGATAGAATTTTTAAATTCTTTAAATATGCCCATACTTCCTTCTCATGAAATTTGTTTAAAAATTGGCATTCCGATTATTCTGCTCCGAAATTTAAGACCACCACAAATTTGCAATGGAACTCGGCTTAAAGTAACCCAGTTGCAACAAAATATAATCGAGGCTCAAATTTTAATAGGTTGCGGTGCAGGAGAAACCATCTTTATTCCCAGAATTCCCATAATACCAAATAATTTTCCATTCCAATTTAAAAGAACGCAATTCCCAGTATCGGTGTGTTATGCATGACAATATATAAGGCTCAAGGGCAGACCTTTCGTGTTGTTGGAGTAGATCTCGGTGTCAGTTGTTTTTCACATGGTCAGTTATGTCGGTCTTTCCCGGGTTAGCAGTCCTAGAATTTTTTATGTTCACGTTCCGGACGGGTCAAATTTCAACGTAGTCTACCCGGAAGCTTTGCGCTGAAGTATTTTCATTCTATAAGATCTATATCTATAAGACTCATGTGAAAGCGATCTAAACAATATTACCAATACATTAACATAATAACATACAAGGAGTTACACGCTGATGGTCTCGGGGCACAGTGATAATAATAATATTCTGCGGTTCCTTATTGAGATATTTTTAACAGTATTATATTTCCCTATTAAAATACGAAAGTTAATCTGTCTGTCACATCAAAACCACGGAACCCTGAGGAAGGACATATGGTACTTTTTTACGAAAAACGACGATAACGCGGACGAAGTCGCGGGCAAAAGCTAGTGTCTTAATAAATCAATCATTTAGACCACCGCAAGGTACTTAATAATTCCCGCGATATTAATTCCCTTACTAAAGTAACAAGACTACGGTATACACTGTCTTAAAATACTAACTAACTAAAAAGTGTGAAATAAAAAAGGTAAATTTAAAAAATCAAAAAACACGACTGCTTAATTGTACTTCAAATAAAAACTGAAAAGAAAAAAACAAGTCCAGTAGTCTATAATTCTGTTAATAAGGAACAAAGATTCTTTAACAGTCGGGACCCATTATTGAAATATATTATGTATTCTTGAATATCTAAAGGGTCCCGGCTGTTAAAATAGTTTTGTTCCTTATTAACAGAATTATAGACTACTGGACTTGTTTTTTTCTTTTCAGTATTTATTTGAAGTACAATTAAGCAGTCGGGTTTTTTACATATCGCACCTCCGGTGCGACACTGTCACTTATGCAAAAAAATATTTTTTTCAGGAGAAGCGTTTAAAACTTTAACATCCCAAAACATACAGTAGGTCGTCATAGACCCCTAGGGGTCGATATAGACCACTTTGGGAATCACTGTATTAGGTGGAAGTGTAGTGGGGGCGAGCCGGCCGACATTTGTTCCCGTACAACCGGGTTATGATCACCCTTCTAACATATTTCCGTGTTCTGAGCGTAGTGCCGTCTGCAGCCCGTCCCGGAATCGTACTTGAATGGACGAATAATTTTGCAGGCACGGCTCTGGCATGTTTGTCACAGTAGAGACCGAAGACAGCGCTGATGTTGGCGTGGCTAAAACTTCAGATCCTGACAAGTTCGTCCAATTGGCTATCAAGTCCAGTGATTCGTTGCTTGGTATGTGGACCTTGTGTTTTTTTGCTGCAATAGGGTATTTGACAGTATTAAAAATAAAGTGCCATTTGTTAGCATCTGTATTTAGAATGAATATTGGCAGGAGTTTTTACTATTTTTACAGAAAAAATAAATATACATAATTTCACTAAAAACCCTCGATAAAGAATATGATTTTCTTGTCTATTGTCACGTGACCCAAAACGCTTGGGATTGGTGGAGTTTACTTGCGTGTGACGTCACGCAAGTAAACTTCCGGTTAAAGTGACATTTGATTGTATGGTTTGACGTTTTAATGACAGTCGTGTGACGCCACACACCAGTGAGACGCCATATTGTCCAGAGATACGTTTTTCGCGGCAACTTGAAAATAGAGTTTTTGATTTGGTTTTTTTACCGAAATACACAACATAATGATGAATATCCACTTTTTATGGACTCTATAAACATTAGTAAATAACGTGCGATCGTTTTCTAAAAGTTGTCAAATACCCTATGTATTCCCAATTACTCATTCCCCATAATTTTAAATTATGTTTCTTGAAAAACTAGTTATGGAATTTTTGTCCCAGCTCAACTCTTTGTTCTGCCGAAAATACATATGTTGCCCACACCTTATTTATTGACACCATATTTAAAATTGATCGAGTTAAAATTGCTTTGCCTAATTATTGAAAAAAAAAAACCATTACATTGCACATCGTTACATTGAACACTAAGTGACGGGAAACGACTTAGAGTCAAGCAGTTGGATCATATTTTTTTCAACGCCATCTGCGCTGCCACGCTATATCTAGGAGTAACTAATCAAAGGCCATACCATATTATTGTCATCTCTGAAGTTAGCAGCAGGCCTATCCTAAGTTATTCTTTTACACTCAGATTAACATGAGAGTTCGACTTTACGTATCTACAAATGAGGTTTATATTTCAGAGCATCTTCACGTATTAGTTCAAGAGGCGCTGGACCACGCAGACTTACCTGTTCTGACTGCAACTCTGGGAGCTGCAGCTCTGTTGAAAAATAGCTTGTTCTGCTATCTGCAGCATGCCGACGATATGGCCAGTGCTGAGAGTCAGTCTATGCTGCAGGTGTGTACATCTTTTAATAATATCAACGTGTTATTAACCCACCCTTGTGTGCAAGAAATCTTTATCAAAGGAAGAAAGGACTTTAACCTCTTAGGCGTTTATATCTGTTTGCTTTGGTGGTTTCTGTTATAAACAACGGCTTAACGTAGATTTTTATTACGATCGATTTTAGCCTAGACCCAAACTGCCGTCCTTAAACTAAAGTATGGCTAAGTGACATGTGGTCGATTTTTCAGTCTCAAATTGCGTCTTATAAAGTTTTTAATTCTCTATCGATCTGTTTTTAACAAGTATTCGTTTCTTTTGTAGTTTATGTCTAAAAATCCGTCATTTGATGAATGGTTAGGCCATATCTCAAAAGTTGGTTTTGTCATTTAGCCGCGTTTTAGCTTGAGGACGGCAGCGAAGTAAGCTCTGTAAGGCTTGTGTCATGTTATGGGATACTACAGTAACGGAAAAGAAAACATGTACAAGTATATTTATCTAGAAAAATATATTTATAATTTTTATTATTTTTAAAGCATGTAACTGCTTGATGTTTAAATCTAAAGAAAATATAACTAGAAAAAATTCCACGCGGACCAGGCAGCAGACGGGACTCGAACCCGCACCCTTCGCAATCCGGGCGAATGCACTGACCAATTATGCTACCGCGACCCTCACGGACCGCGTCGAAATTCTTTCTAGCTATTCTTAAGCTGCAAGGCAGCGCCATCTCTTCGCATTATAGGTAAACCCACAATGTCATAGCATAGCACGTAGCATAATTGGTCAGTGCATTCGCCCGGATTGCGAAGGGTGCGGGTTCGAGTCCCGTCTGCTGCCTGGTCCGCGTGGAATTTTTTCTAGTTATATTTTCTTTAAAAATATATTTTATAAATATCCGTGACACAGGTACACATGCTCGTATACATCGTACTAATATTTGTCCCACCGGGATTCGAACACGGGTCCTCTGAGCAGCCGACACCTCGAAACCGGGGTAACTGTTGCAGGCAATTTGTATGATTCCTCGTTTTACAAACGGCGTTGTCCTTTTCAAAAAGCTCGTTGTTTTAAAATATGCTAAAGGCAAATTGGCGACTCGGTGTAAGTTGGCCATCATAAAACACAGGTTGGACAAATCAGACTTTATTTAAGTTGTTGTTGAGCACTCCTCCTCCAAAGTAATTTAACTAGTGTAGTTGGTAGGTACTGAGTTTTTTCTCGACTATTATGTCCACAGTGCCTATGAATAACTAACAATATATCAAAATGTTCTTAATACTCCCCTAATGGTATTACACAGGCCGTTGGACTCTCAGAGCTGTCTTTTTTTTCAGAATTGAGATAGTTCTAATCGGAAACTCAGCATATCATGTTGGCAACACCAACGAGAATTAATTTTTTGTCCTTGTTACTGTATCCTCTCTCTCTAACGTGTAATGGCGGTTTGTGTAAACTTTACTTTAACGTGTCTCCACGAATAATTTTAATTTATATTTCATAAAACTGCTTTTATTTTACTGCCCACGACGCACATAAAGATCCTGACATATCATACTTTTCATACCAATAAATAATATTGCGCAGGAGTCCTCCGAGCACCAGATTCCTCAAAACATTTGTCATATGTACATTGTACACGGCTTTTTTACTGTTCCTGTTTATGAATCGTAAAATTTTATTAATTCACTATAATAATAAGTGTCCTTAAAACAATACTTTTTTGTGAAAAGTCCTTTCAACTCGTAGAATTTGCACTGTTTTTACTATTGGCGCCATTTTTTTGTTTTGATTAATACGCCACGCGTGGTTACAAATAGAACTAAATTCTTCAATTTGCCGCGGCATTTCATAAACGCGGATTGGATTGTCTATCATATGTTGTGGAGCATTATAAAGTGACAAGACAATTAAAATTTTGCCATCGGCATATTTTAAAACAGCGAGCGGTTATAAACGGACGACGCCGTTTGTAAAATTCGGAATCATTCAAATCGCCTGCGACATTCGGCCACAGAGGTCGTCAAGAAAAGTATGCGCGCTTCAGCAATACAAATCATAGAGCAACATGACCGTGGCAGCCAGGACGGGAGTAGTCATAGACAGCATTCCCCTCTGTCGAGTTGGGCATGCAAATTGAGAATGTGTGAGTGTCGTTATTACAGTTTTGTTTTATATGCGTGTAGGTTAGACTGCGTTAGTGTGTATATTTCCCCCGCAAAAAATTACAGAATGATTTGAATAGTAGGTATTATGTCGCTATGGCTACTCCCTTCCGAGTTGCTCTATGATACAAATGGGTGAAATAAAAATATGTTGAATAATGTTGGCCCAATATAGAGAAGTACAATTCTCAGAAAATAATCAAAACATTTATATTAAAGCACAAATCGTTATATTATGAGTTAATGTCGCCTTAATACAATTTTAGGATATTGCTATTAATGTATAAACATAAGTAGATTCACGATTGCGCTCAAAAAATGTCGGAAGCAAAATTACGCACATTCGCCAATTGTGCATAATTTTCAAACAGTCGTGTTTGAAAATACTCCGTCGTATTTTTACAATTGGCATTGAACCTTGCTGCCACGACATAACGTGTTGATTTGAATAAATGTGGTAGGTATCTGTATAAGTTGATATAGAACGCCGCTTAGACGTTTTTGATGTACTTTTGTTTTAATTAGGCGATTAGGACTTTACTTGTTATTTTATTATACGGCAATGGATATGGCGTGAGCGTGGCCATGAGATTATATCTACGTTATATATCTACGTTGGTGTTACTTTTTTTATCTGTTTTTCCCATCTTGGTAAAGGCAAAGGCAGAGCCATGCAGCCATCGTCTTCATTTAAAAGTTCTTTTGTGAATTTAATTCTTTAATCATAAAATATTTGTCCTAAATAGTCTGTTTATGATTAATTTTCGATAACGTTAGTGTTACATATTGCGGAGTGCATTGTCTTAAGATGAAAAAATTGGTCGACATTTTGATTTCACATTTTCACGTCACGACGTCGTTAACGGGGAATGGTGCGGTAACGGGTTCGTCAAGGCTTTACCGGTACGGCGGCGCGCGGTGCGATGCGTGGATTTCCTGTGCATTACGCGCTCACATCTGTGTAGTAGTTAACATTCGTGAAAAAAAGTAGCTATGAGTTAAGGACTGTGCCAGTCGTCGGCTGGTCGTTTTGAACGTTATGTCAATGCACCATGCTCTGTTACTGAACGGTTTCACGATGACGACGTCGCGACGGGGAGATGAAGACGGGTATTAAGGTGGAAATTAAATTTTGTAGGCATGCTACAAGCGGTTCGTCACCATGTCGGAGGCGGTAGGGGAGCGCGTGCTGGACTTGCACACGCGCGTGCTGTCGCTGTACGTGCTGCAGGAGGCGGGCGGGCGCGGGGTGCTGGGGGCGGGCGCGGCCGTGCACCACGCCGGCACGCCTGCCGTGCAGGGCTGCTGGCTGTACATGGGGGGTGAGGGGGGGGCATGAGGGGGGCATGAGGGGGGCAGGGGGGGCACTGGCCTCACACGCGCGTGCTGTCGCTGTACGTGCTGCAGGAGGCGGGCGGGCGCGGGGTGCTGGGGGCGGGCGCGGCCGTGCACCACGCCGGCACGCCTGCCGTGCAGGGCTGCTGGCTGTACATGGGGGGTGAGGGGGGGGCATGAGGGGGGCATGAGGGGGGCAGGGGGGGCACTGGCCTCACACGCGCGTGCTGTCGCTGTACGTGCTGCAGGAGGCGGGCGGGCGCGGGGTGCTGGGGGCGGGCGCGGCCGTGCACCACGCCGGCACGCCTGCCGTGCAGGGCTGCTGGCTGTACATGGGGGGTGAGGGGGGGGCATGAGGGGGGCATGAGGGGGGCAGGGGGGGCACTGGCCTCACACGCGCGTGCTGTCGCTGTACGTGCTGCAGGAGGCGGGCGGGCGCGGGGTGCTGGGGGCGGGCGCGGCCGTGCACCACGCCGGCACGCCTGCCGTGCAGGGCTGCTGGCTGTACATGGGGGGTGAGGGGGGGGCATGAGGGGGGCATGAGGGGGGCAGGGGGGGCACTGGCCTCACACGCGCGTGCTGTCGCTGTACGTGCTGCAGGAGGCGGGCGGGCGCGGGGTGCTGGGGGCGGGCGCGGCCGTGCACCACGCCGGCACGCCTGCCGTGCAGGGCTGCTGGCTGTACATGGGGGGTGAGGGGGGGGCATGAGGGGGGCATGAGGGGGGCAGGGGGGGGCACTGGCCTCACACGCGCGTGCTGTCGCTGTACGTGCTGCAGGAGGCGGGCGGGCGCGGGGTGCTGGGGGCGGGCGCGGCCGTGCACCACGCCGGCACGCCTGCCGTGCAGGGCTGCTGGCTGTACATGGGGGGTGAGGGGGGGGCATGAGGGGGGCATGAGGGGGGCAGGGGGGGCACTGGCCTCACACGCGCGTGCTGTCGCTGTACGTGCTGCAGGAGGCGGGCGGGCGCGGGGTGCTGGGGGCGGGCGCGGCCGTGCACCACGCCGGCACGCCTGCCGTGCAGGGCTGCTGGCTGTACATGGGGGGTGAGGGGGGGGCATGAGGGGGGCATGAGGGGGGCAGGGGGGGCACTGGCCTCACACGCGCGTGCTGTCGCTGTACGTGCTGCAGGAGGCGGGCGGGCGCGGGGTGCTGGGGGCGGGCGCGGCCGTGCACCACGCCGGCACGCCTGCCGTGCAGGGCTGCTGGCTGTACATGGGGGGTGAGGGGGGGGCATGAGGGGGGCATGAGGGGGGCAGGGGGGGCACTGGCCTCACACGCGCGTGCTGTCGCTGTACGTGCTGCAGGAGGCGGGCGGGCGCGGGGTGCTGGGGGCGGGCGCGGCCGTGCACCACGCCGGCACGCCTGCCGTGCAGGGCTGCTGGCTGTACATGGGGGGTGAGGGGGGGGCATGAGGGGGGCATGAGGGGGGCAGGGGGGGCACTGGCCTCACACGCGCGTGCTGTCGCTGTACGTGCTGCAGGAGGCGGGCGGGCGCGGGGTGCTGGGGGCGGGCGCGGCCGTGCACCACGCCGGCACGCCTGCCGTGCAGGGCTGCTGGCTGTACATGGGGGGTGAGGGGGGGGCATGAGGGGGGCATGAGGGGGGCAGGGGGGGCACTGGCCTCACACGCGCGTGCTGTCGCTGTACGTGCTGCAGGAGGCGGGCGGGCGCGGGGTGCTGGGGGCGGGCGCGGCCGTGCACCACGCCGGCACGCCTGCCGTGCAGGGCTGCTGGCTGTACATGGGGGGTGAGGGGGGGGCATGAGGGGGGCATGAGGGGGGCAGGGGGGGCACTGGCCTCACACGCGCGTGCTGTCGCTGTACGTGCTGCAGGAGGCGGGCGGGCGCGGGGTGCTGGGGGCGGGCGCGGCCGTGCACCACGCCGGCACGCCTGCCGTGCAGGGCTGCTGGCTGTACATGGGGGGTGAGGGGGGGGCATGAGGGGGGCATGAGGGGGGCAGGGGGGGGCACTGGCCTCACACGCGCGTGCTGTCGCTGTACGTGCTGCAGGAGGCGGGCGGGCGCGGGGTGCTGGGGGCGGGCGCGGCCGTGCACCACGCCGGCACGCCTGCCGTGCAGGGCTGCTGGCTGTACATGGGGGGTGAGGGGGGGGCATGAGGGGGGCATGAGGGGGGCAGGGGGGGCACTGGCCTCACACGCGCGTGCTGTCGCTGTACGTGCTGCAGGAGGCGGGCGGGCGCGGGGTGCTGGGGGCGGGCGCGGCCGTGCACCACGCCGGCACGCCTGCCGTGCAGGGCTGCTGGCTGTACATGGGGGGTGAGGGGGGGGCATGAGGGGGGCATGAGGGGGGCAGGGGGGGCACTGGCCTCACACGCGCGTGCTGTCGCTGTACGTGCTGCAGGAGGCGGGCGGGCGCGGGGTGCTGGGGGCGGGCGCGGCCGTGCACCACGCCGGCACGCCTGCCGTGCAGGGCTGCTGGCTGTACATGGGGGGTGAGGGGGGGGCATGAGGGGGGCATGAGGGGGGCAGGGGGGGCACTGGCCTCACACGCGCGTGCTGTCGCTGTACGTGCTGCAGGAGGCGGGCGGGCGCGGGGTGCTGGGGGCGGGCGCGGCCGTGCACCACGCCGGCACGCCTGCCGTGCAGGGCTGCTGGCTGTACATGGGGGGTGAGGGGGGGGCATGAGGGGGGCATGAGGGGGGCAGGGGGGGCACTGGCCTCACACGCGCGTGCTGTCGCTGTACGTGCTGCAGGAGGCGGGCGGGCGCGGGGTGCTGGGGGCGGGCGCGGCCGTGCACCACGCCGGCACGCCTGCCGTGCAGGGCTGCTGGCTGTACATGGGGGGTGAGGGGGGGGCATGAGGGGGGCATGAGGGGGGCAGGGGGGGCACTGGCCTCACACGCGCGTGCTGTCGCTGTACGTGCTGCAGGAGGCGGGCGGGCGCGGGGTGCTGGGGGCGGGCGCGGCCGTGCACCACGCCGGCACGCCTGCCGTGCAGGGCTGCTGGCTGTACATGGGGGGTGAGGGGGGGGCATGAGGGGGGCATGAGGGGGGCAGGGGGGGCACTGGCCTCACACGCGCGTGCTGTCGCTGTACGTGCTGCAGGAGGCGGGCGGGCGCGGGGTGCTGGGGGCGGGCGCGGCCGTGCACCACGCCGGCACGCCTGCCGTGCAGGGCTGCTGGCTGTACATGGGGGGTGAGGGGGGGGCATGAGGGGGGCATGAGGGGGGCAGGGGGGGGCACTGGCCTCACACGCGCGTGCTGTCGCTGTACGTGCTGCAGGAGGCGGGCCTTACGTCGTAACTTAAAGCTGGGACCAACGGCTTGACGTGCCTTCCGAAGAACAGAAAAGCCCGGGATAATAAGATTTTTTTGTCACCCATCCAATAAGCGACCTTTGCCATAGATACTTAACTTCCACGATCGCAAGCCAAACACGCTGATCTCATTCGCCATCCAGCCCCTATTAAACTAACTAACCACTATGGCAGCTCCCAAAACGATGATATATATCGCAGAATGCTAACATAAATTTCACGATAAACAAGTTTTATCAGGATCTCAGTAGTACACCGGTTAATGCTTTCACTCGCATAGCGGAAACCACTGTTTCAATTCCAGCATTTATAGCCTGGCATCAGCCAGGGTCGAGTTCGTCGTCATCATCATCAGCCTATTAGTGTCCCCACTGCTGGGGCACAGCTCTTCCCTATGGATGGAACAGGGAGGTTGAGGCCCAGTGCGGATTGATGGGTGCTAACGACTGCCGATGCAGCCAGGACCAACGGCTAAACGTGCCTTCCGAAGCTCGGAGGACTGAGAGTTTGTAAATTTTTTTGGTCACCCATCCAATGACCGACCACTGCGAAAGTTGCTCAACTTCAACGATCGCAGCCGAACGCGCTATCCGTTTGCGCCACCGAGCTTCTCAAAAGGCAGAGTTGATATTTTCCCAATTAAATGTTCTTTAAGTATAAACAATAGAATCCATCCAAAGCAGGTACCAACTTATGGCATTAAAATGAAAATCGTATTCCTCCGCAGGCAGCCGGAAAGATTTGTGGGACACAGTGCCTCCTCGAATGGCGCAGAGGATATTCGCCGGCATGCTCAATGAGACCCTCACTATACTCACTGTGAGATACTGCCAGGTAAAAATAAATAAATATTACCAACACACACCAATGGGAAAGAAAACTGCCAACTGAACATGCATTAGGGGGACCAAACCACTACATTAGATTTGATAGACCACAGATCCTTGCAGCTGAGCGGCGGTTCGTTCCTCGAATGATGCGCGAGGCTATTGAGATTAAAAAATATCCAAATTTCAATAGGGAAGATGGTTGGTATATACCACCAGCTTGGGAACCTATTATACAGGAGATAAAATCCCAACCCCGAGCACACACTGCAAGACCATCAGATACTATTAGTTCTTTTTGTTTGCATAATTTAACATAAGAAGGAGATAGAAAGCCTCTCTTGAGTTTGTTTCGCCGGTTCTTCTCAGGAAGGTCTCCCAATTTTGGAACCGGTGGTAGTTTACGGTAGTTAGGGTCAAATAAATAAACTCAAAATTACAAACAAGAATTTTAAATAAAATACTTTATTAAGTAAATTAAATAATAAATTCATACATAGACAATAAAATTTTAAAAATCTTCCAATGAAATAACCGAACGCACAATATAATTCTTTCGAAGGTAGCTCGACAATTTTAAATAAAATCATTATTCTGACGATGCAGACCTGAAAAGGCTGCGAAACGTCAATAAATAAATAAAGTTTCGTGCATTAACCCGTAAAAACTAGTTTTATTTAATGAGTGATGTGCGTGAAAACTTAAGAAACAAAAAAAAACTGCCAATTTACTCCGCCAGAGGCGCAGGTTTCAAAAGGCCCCAAGGAGTTTATGGATGTATTCCGTAATATATACCAGTACACTGACCAGTACTAATGACGTTATGGATCGAAGCTATACTGGTGAATAGTTCCGAAATATAGTGGTCAGTGAACTGACGTCA